CATGGTTATCAACACGTTATCTTCATCATAGTCCTCGTTTTCACCAACAACATGATATTGTTCTGTGGTATTTGGTTTCGAAGAAGTTGACTTCTTGGTAGTTGAAGATGACTTCCCTTCAGGAAGATCGTGTGAGTACTTCGGCATGGTTATCAACACGTTATCTTCGTCATAGTTTTCATCTTCATCAGTAGGATGATATCGCTCTGTAGGTTTCTCCGTCGATGATGTCCTCGTCCTCCCGAAAAACTCATCCGCCAACTTATCCATCTTCTCCAAAACCTTCTTCTTCTCTTCCTCTTTATCGTGATGAGTCGACTTTGCTGTCGAAGAAGTCGCCTTTTCCGTCGATGACGATGATTTTCTTTCAGGCACGTCATGTGGGTGCTTCGACAAAGTCACCAACACATCATCTTCATCATTCCCTTCGTCAACGACAGATTTTTCTGTCGGTTTTTCTGTCGAAGGTCTCGTCCTCCCATAAAACTCGTCCGCCAATTTATCCATCTTCGCCAAAACCTTGTTCTTGTCCTCCTCCGAAATCTCTCTCTTCGGTTTACACTTCCTCGAGTCATGATCGACCGTCACAAATTCATTGTTGAGAACCCTAGCCCCGGCCTTATCGTAGGAGAGGACGTCCTCACCCGACTTCGGCTCCTTCAATTTTTCGACCAAAGATTGTCGTCCAGTCTTCGAGGCGAGAGTTGAGGGAGTTTTTTCTGGTATTTGTCTACCCGCAGGTTTTATCAGCTGTCCCCCATCTTCATCGATCACCCAGGGTGCGCAGGTGCGACCTGATCGGGTAACGGAGAGTGCGCCGATGTAGTCGTTGGCAGTCCCAGCAGTTCTGCATTCTGAAGACCTACAAGCGCGGATTGAACAGTAGTTCTTCTCCAGTCCTGAAGATGAATTTGTGTAGCAATAGGGGCCTTTGAGATCATGGCCCGGGTTACGGCATTTATTGGAGGCCCCCAGGAGTGATCCTTCGGGGAATAAACTGTTTTTTCTGTCCTCCTCTGGAATCTGAAAATTAGGGACGAACTTTCGATTAATTGGATTTCGCTGTCGGTTCATGATTGACGATCAATTTACGTCTTTGGAACTCCAGGGGATGCAGGGTCGACCTTCTTGGCTGATCCATTGAGATCCTTGATACAAATAATCCCTAGGGTTCGACAAACAATTGGGAGGGGATGGCTTCTCCACTACATCCTCCTCACCAGGTGTGCAAAATAACGCCCAGTGGGCGATGGAGTTCTCTGAGCCGACGCTGAACCACCTCAGGGTGCTGAAGACGTGCTCTTTTGCGTAAAGGATCTCTTCATTTCCGTAATGCTTCTCTGAGAATAGACGCAGGTGAGGGCCGAAGGTGGAGAGTGTAAAGTGCTTCCACGTCCAGAAGTCTAGGAGATTTGAGCTCGAGACTTCTTGCAACTGTTGCTTAACGGATTTCGAGGATTCCTGGTAGGTCAGGGTCACCAGTTGACTGTTTTCGAAGGTTATCTGAGGGTGGATTGAGTCAGGGGTGATGGAATTTGAGAGTTTTTTACGGAAATCCGTGGTGAAGTTGCGGAATGATTGAGTCATTGTAAAAAATTGAACGAAAATGAAATTTTAAAAAATTCCATTCGTAGTTCTTTTTGATTCGTATTGCTTCGATAAGTATTGAAAGAAAATTATAATCGCATTGCGTGAGAGAAAAAGCACTGTCCAAATGAATGAAAAAGGAAAAAAATCGATTCGTAGTTCTTTTTGATTCGTATTGCTTTGATAAGTGTTGGAAGAAAATTATAATCGCATTGCGTGAGAGAAAAAGCACTGTCCAAATGAATGAAAAAGGAAAAAAATCGATTCGTAGTTCTTTTTGATTCGTATTGCTTTGATAAGTGTTGGAAGAAAATTATAATCGCATTGCGTGAGAGAAAAAGCACTGTCCAAATGAATAAAATAATGGAAAAAAATCGATTCGTAGTTCTTTTTGATTCGTATCGCTTCAGCAAATGCCGTAATAATGCTTGAAGAAAATTAACTCGTCTTACGACATCAGTACAGAAATTTAATTCTACAGATTGAGGAAATAATTTTCACCGTGAAGCAGGGGTAGACCTTCCCCGGACTCTCGTACAGCTTCAACAGGACTTTCTTGCTAGCGCGCACTTGAAAATTAATATCATAAGTTGTGTTGCTCTGCTGAAATGGCCAGACTCGAATGAAGTCCGTGCCATAAGTCGTATGAATCTCGCACGATTGGAGACAGTAGTCCGTGCTCCACAAGACGCCCGTCCCCGTGAGCCCGTAATAAAAGAAACTGTTCTCGTGAAGGCTAGATATGGTATTCTTCTTTCCATATTCGTCGAGGAATATTGGTTTCACGGAGCCCTGAAGGCTCACGGAAATGAAGCCACCGCCCCAGGTGATGGATAATCCCGTCCAGTTCGAACTCAGGAGGATGTTGGGCGTTGGCTCAAGGTCACCGTCTCCCTATGAATGTTTTCCGTGATTTTTCGCATTGGGCGACTGCTCTGAGGGGAACTTACAGTGAAACCAGGGTGTCTTTGGCCAGAGCCGGAGTTGGAGATCAAGAGTTCGGTACCTGCTCGCCAGTCGTCAGCGATGATTTTTGGGGACGTGGGGATTGGTAGGAGGGTTAATAGTAATCGAGCTTCACCCTGGGAGAAAAATCTTTTTTGTCAACATTATCGAAGGCTCTGATGGAGATGCTCACGTTTTTTCGGGTTTTGAGGCTCAAGTGTGACGCAAAAACGTATCACGTGTCGGAAAAACGCTACATGTGACGCAAAAACATTACACCCCCCCCTGGGGTACATCTCGTGATTTCTCGCGAGGCTCAGACGTGACGCTAAACGTAACACGTGTCGGAAAAACGTTACACGTGACGCAAAAACGTTACACACTCTAGGGATACGAGACTGAGACACATTGTTTCGTGATTTTAAGTGTGACAAGGATCGCATGTGTCGCAAAAACGTAACACGTCTAGGAAAAAACGTTACACGTGTCGCAAAAACGTTACATTACAACAAAATTATGTCTCACACCTTGAGTTCATCCTTCGGCTCCCACAGTTTCACCCAGACCGTCATATTCCCAGCTGTAGAGTTCATGGAAGTTATAGTTGAATAGGTAGAGGCATTCCTAGTGTAAACCAGACAATCCCTGTCATCGCAGAACGGAATGTCGCAGTACTCTCTCTCAACAAGTTCATAATTCTCCTCCTCCACGTAACACCAGGGACCCCCAGGATCATCGTCAGGGTTTCTGCAGTAATGCTTCGCCTTCCTCTTGGATGAATCTGGGAAATCCCTGTTGGAGAATTTTTCAGTGCTCCCTTTGACTGTTTTGTGCCTCTTGTTCCAGGATTTACATTTCTTCCCGGAGGAACTGATCTCACGACTGCCGCCGTACTCCGCTCCACCGCCAGTGATTCTACACTCTTGATAATGAATTGCCTTTACTTATGGGAGATTTATCTTGTGAAGATAAACTGGAAATTAGTGCACGGAGAGAAATCTTCAGTAAAAATTACGGAACTCACAATTCGCTCACCGATTAGGGAATCGATTCAGGAAATTTAAACGACGGAAAAATTCTGTGACAGTTCCGTACAATTTCATACAACCACATTTCACTCCGGAATTACGGAAAAGATATGTAATTTTTATTGAATATTTCTCTCCGTGCGGAGGAAGAGGAGAGATACCTCCGAAGTTACAGAGAGGTACTCCGCACTCGTCATCGATGAGACTGGGCTCCATGGTGTAACACCAAGGACCTTTTGGGTCTCCAGTCGGATTTCTACAGTAATTTTTCGCCAGGCGCATCGATCGTTCCGGGAAATCGCCATCATTTATGGATGGATCAACCTTTTGGTGGGAGGGAATAGTATCTTATGTCATAAGGCGATCGCCTTCGGCTCGGATTATAAACTCACATTCGCCAGATAATACTTTTATCGCCGTGTGATATACGATATTTTATGTCGTTGGGCCCGAAAACCGAATCGCGGTTTATCGGGCCTAATGATATGATATGTATTCAAGCTTTCAATCATCATATGATCAACAAGTGAACAATCCATTATTAACTAAAACATAATGATTAACTATTACATCAATCATTGAAAATTGATGAAACAGTTGAGTAAAAAATATTGAAGATATTTTTTGCAGAAAATTCTCTCAACTACAAGAAAAATTCATTGACATTTTTTTTGTAATTACTCGTTGCTGAGATGAATAGAAAATGGATAGAAATGTTGCCTGAAAAATGCATTTTTTAGACAATTATAAAAAAAAAAATTTTCATCACTCAGTGCGTAAAGTGACGTTCTGTGATTCGGAATCAATATTCTAGACTTTATGATATGTATTCAAGCTTTCAATCATCATATTATGATCAACAAGTGAACAATCCATTATTAACTAAAACATAATTATCAACTATTGCATCAATCATTGAAAATTGATGAAGAAATTGCGAAAAAAATTTAGAAGATATTTTTTGTGGGGAATTTCAACGTCAAAAAAAAATAACCGTCATTTTTTTTGTAATTATTCGTTGTCGAGAGGAATAGGAATATCTTAATGTTGATTGATGAATGCAGTTTTTTTTCTCACGTCGTGTATTTGTCCTTCTCCATGCCAGGACTGACATCTAATCCCTCCCGCAGTCTCATGAGCCCTTCCACGATATTCCGTCCCAAACTGCGAGACTTTGCAGTGATCCAAGTCCGTCCGCGATGCAATTTTTGCTAATTCAGGAGCACAAATCTCTTCACAACGTCTGAACCTTCAGCTTGAATAAAGAAATTCTCTGCAATACTTACGTTTCTCACTATTGCTCTTCATAGTGGGCAGAAATAATTGTAGAGTGATGAACAATATTTCGTATTTCGGAGCCATTTTTACGTTTAACCGCCTATTGATGACGAACTCTTCATGGGAACTCGCCTCATATAGGGGGAGTACGAACCAGTACGAACTGTCAAACAAATTTACCATAACCTATAGCCCAACACTAAAATGGTGATATACGGTGTTTATATCGTCTCGAAATCCGGTGGATTAATATTCAATCACGATCACAATGTCCCAAAGATCGAGCACGAGAGGGTTTTTAATTACCCTCTGGACATTAAATTAATTTACGAAAATAAAAAAGTCGTTGTTGCCTTTGGACAACGAGATGGAATCAATGGTAAGTCCCCCTCATTTTACAATTTATAATGATCTAACTTAATTTAATTAATTGTGATCCTTGAGTTAGTTATTTCTATAAATTGATGTCATGTTCAACTTCATTTCGTCGCGATTATTATGAAAATTGGAGGTTTTTCGTGATGTTGATTCATGCCCACTCTCTAAAAAAGGGTCGACAGGAAAATATTTATTAAAAAAAAAAATTGCCTCAATATTTTTTATAGATCAGACATTGTGGAGGATTGATAAACTTTATCGAGCAAAAAATAGTCATTTTTGTTGATGAAAATATTGACAAATGATAAAAATTGTGAAATTAATACTGTGAGAATCAATTCCCTTCTTGTGCATCTTATTTTTATATTTGAAAATTAACATTTGTTAAAAATTCATCATAACAAAAGAGAAAATTATTTGTCTAATGTCTGTTAAAAAAAATTCTCGAGTATTCCCAAAGGTTCAAGAAATACCCAAAATTAAATCTCTGCACGAATCGATCATTTTCTCTGAGCAACATTCTGTCATGTTCTAAAAAAATTCAATAAATCTCGAGAAAATTCTGGAAATTTCTAGGCTTTTCACTGCTGCACCCTTTACTGCCTAATTTTCAAAAAAATAAAAAATACGTGTTTGATGATTTCAAATGTAGAGTCCATATTCGAATCTTCACGTGTCCAACTTCAATAGTTTTCGAATTCGTCCAAAAAAATCCGCAGCCTTGTCACCCCCTCAGAATGATCACTAAAAGAACGTACAGGCAAAACCTACAGAACCTGTGGCTCTGGATGGGTCAATCCCCCCCCCCCCAAATGGCTTCTCCTTAATAAATAGAACGTTAACTACGTCAATTAACGTGCCTGTCCACAGTTGGCCACGTCCTGATGTCGGTAAACGGTGCCCCCCTAGCGGGAACCCTCCTAGAAGACGGTCGTGACGTTCTCGAGGTCCTGGAGGACCCCCAGAACTTCCCAATCACCCTGAAATTCAGTCGAGCGAAGATGACGACAAACGAGAAGATCTTCCTCGCCTCGATGTTCTACCCCCTCTTCGCAATAGCCAGCCAGCTGAGCCCGGAGCCCAGATCCTCTGGGATCGAGGTCCTCGAGGCCGACACATTCCGTCTCTACTGCTACCAGACCCTCACTGGTGTCAAATTCATGGTCGTCGCAGAGCCCTCCCAACCTGGCATGGAGATCCTGACTAAAAGAGTCTACGAGCTCTACGCGGATTACGCCCTCAAGAACCCTTTCTACTCCCTGGAGATGCCCATCAGATGCGAACTATTCGAGACAAATCTGGTGACGCTTTTGGAGACTGTGGAGAAGTCCGGGATAAGCAGTGTTTAATATCGATAGGTTTATAAAGCTCGTTATAATATATTATACATCTGAATTTATTTTGTAACACAATGATGTAAATAATGTCTCTTTAATTGTAAAAAAATATATTCCAAGATTTTATCTAGTTTAGGCGACTTTGTTCCATGCTTTCGTGACGTCAGGCACAGGAAACTGTAACAGAGAATGGTAATAGTCAAGTTATGGGAAAGCTGGTTTCATTTTATAGCTGAATCCCTCCTTAATATCTCATTTTTTCATTCTTTTTAAGATGTGATATTACTGCTCTTCTATTCTTCAATGTTAATTATTATTGTCATTAATTATCCCATAACAATTTGTGTAGTGATACGTGCCAAGCAAGTATACGTAAAATATTCTTTTTCATTTCTCAAAAACCTTCTCCAATCCTAAAACCTTCCAAAAATCAACACCGATAATTATTTCCGAAACAGGAGTCATTCAAGTATTACGTAACCAAATTTGTGGGGAATTTGTGGGGAAATTTGTTGGGCCCCTCCCCAGGGACTGAGGTGCGTGAGAAAGGCTTGGACCAATCCACTACTAAACAATTAATATAAAACTGTGTTTATCGCTAAATGCGTCTTAGTAAAATGCAAGTTATTTAGGATAACAGCAGTGTTTTCAGGACGAACAAACAACGACAAACGATTTCTTACGAGGAACAGATGTAGATGAAGATATATATGCGACTGGTCGATTGATACGCCCAGATTCACCTAAATCTTACGATCTTTTGTAACTTGCGCCTTTTTTCCCCGGTCAGTCCATCAGCCTCAGCCCTGTGCCTTTCACTAGGCTAATAAGGCTGTTGACTAACACTTCGTTTAAATCAGCTAGTTCCAGAAAAGCCTAGCCCCAGTTTTTATATCTACGAATAGCTAACAGGGGGCCCTCGCACAGAATATGCGCTGCGTCCTCCCTTTTCCCTTCGCATAGCCTGCAGTCTTCCAGCTCGGCCAGCTTCATTTTGTACAAGTGAGCCCTAAGCGCTGCGTGGCCCTTAAGGAGGCCTACCGCCACCCTCAGGTTCCTCCTGGTCATACCCAGAAGTTCCATTGTCCTTCTGCTCGACTGCCTTACGAGGAACAAATGAAACAATTAATTTTTTTAATGTCAAGAGGGGCTACATAGCCCGTCATACATGAAAAAAGGCTTTATTTTACTTGCTCCTCATAAGGAATCGTTAGTTCGTCGTTTGTTCGTCCTGAAAACACAGCTAGTGCATGAAATAAAAATATGAATTACCATGCCAGTGATATTATCCTCACAAGCCGTCCTAATCCTCCCAGAAGTAGCGGGAGAATCGAACCTAAAAATTCTCGGCGCATTAGTTTCCTCCCTCGCCGCTTGAATCGCATTCTTAATGGCGAAAAAAACCGAGGAGGCCAGAAAAAGCGGGGGTTCCCCGACGGCTTTGGACGAGAAAACAGCTCTGGGGTTGGGTGCATCCTTCAACAAAGAAACATTGAACTCCTGGGGAATATCCGTGAAGCCGGGGATTTTGTAGGCCCCCGGTCCACGGCTGTAAAGAGTCCCAGTAGGGGAGTAAATCATCTCCTCTAGGGTGAATAGCCCAAGCCCCTGGACGAAGCCCCCCTCAACCTGACCGATATCGATGGCCGGATTCAAGCTGTCCCCCAGGTCCATCACAATGTCCGTTCTGATGGCCTGATGATCCCCCGTGAGACAATCGATCTCGACTTCGCTGCAGGCCACACCATACGTGAAATAATTGAAAGCCATTCCCTCGTTCTTATCAAAGTTGTAGCCGATATCAGGTGTTCTGTAGAAGCCGCTTGCACTCAAGCTGATCCTCTCGAAGTAGGCGATCGACACCCACTCCTCCCATTTCTTATCGGGATGAGCATCTATTATGGGCTTGAGTCTCGCCATTATCGTGTTGCAGGCGTTCATAATGGCCATTCCGTTCAGGTCCGACCCCGCACTGGCAGCTGTCGCTGAGGTGTTCGGAACCTTGTCCGTTGCCGTCTCAGATATGTGGATCTTGTTCGGATCGACCTTGAAGATTCTACTCGCCACCTGTATCATCTTCGTATGCAGCCCCTGACCCATCTCTGTCCCCCCATGGCTGATCAGCACGGACCCATCCGTGTACACGTGAACCAGAGCCCCTCCTTGATTCAGAAAAAGGGCAGTGAAAGCTATTCCAAACTTCGTCGGGATGACCGCGATACCGCGTTTTCGGTAGCGGTTCGCTTTGTTGAATTGATCGACCTCTGATTTTCGGAGGCGGTAGTTCGACTGGGCGAGACACTGCTGCCAGCATCGCTCTAGCGGACACCTGAGGAGCTTCTGCTGGTAGTGAGTGAGATCGTCCTCTTTGTAGAGGTTCAACTCAGATACTTTGGCTGGTTCCAGCCCTAGGTAATTGGCGACATCCCACACGATGTTCTCCGCAACGAACATTCCTTGCGGTCCGCCGAACCCGCGGAATGCCGTGTTGGAGGGGAGGTTCGTCAGGCAGGCGGTCCCGGTCACGTGAGTCACCGGGAATTTGTACGCGTTCTCGCAATGGAACATCGATCGTTCCAGAACTGAGACGGAAAGGTCCATCGAACATCCGGCGTTGCAGAAGATGTCGATCTTCGCGCCTTTTATCCTCCCTTCCTTCGTGAACCCGACTTTGTATCTGTGCATGAACGGATGCCGCGTTCCCGTCATCATCATGTCCTCGTCCCGATCCAGCATACACCGCACCGGTCGCTGCAGGTGCCATGCGGCCAGCGCCGCCGGCAGCGCCACCAGCATCCCCCGCGACTCTTTCCCGCCAAAACCTCCGCCCATTCGTTTCACCCTGACGTTAACTCGATTTATCGAGATGCCGAGGGTGTGAGCTACTAGTTTTTGGATCTCTGAGGGATGCTGGGTCGAGCAGTACAGCTCGATCTCGTCAGTCTCCTTGGGGACAGCTAGGATCGCGTGGGTTTCGAGGTAGAAGTGCTCCTGTCCGCCTATCCTGACCTCACCCTCGAGGACGTGGTCAGCGCCTGCGAAGGCCTCATCAATATCCCCGTCTCTGATGCTCTTGGGGGTACCCTGGACAAATGACTTCGCTTCAATCGCGTCCTCAATGCTGACGATGACAGGCTCCAAGTCTTCGTAATCAATCTTCACTAGTCTAGCCGCTTTCTGAGCTGTCGCTTGGTCACCAGCGATGATCGCCCCGATGATCTGGCCCTGACTCGTCACCTTGTTCCTCCCGAATATCTGCTCATCATGGATCACCGGTCCCACCCAGTTGTTGTATTCAGGGATATCTTCAGCCGAGTAGAATTTGACGACCCCTTCGAGTCCTAGCGCCAGCGATGCATCGACTTTCAGGAGTTTTGCGTGAGCTCTTGTGGACATCACCAGAGCCATGTACAACTCCCCCTGGAACTGGGGGATGTCGTCGCAGTAGATGGCTTCGCCCGTCGCCTGCTTGAAGGCACTCGCGTGGACGATGGGTCTACCGATCAGGTCCTTCGGGTCCTGATCCTTCTTGACGATTTGGTAGTACTGAGAACTCCTCGGGGGCTTGTATTCGAACGTCTCCGCGGCGGAGGACAGCCTCTCCGGAAGCGGCGAAAGACCGGGGATGTCCGCCTGAAGACGCTGTAGGATGTGAATGAAGCCCTTGAAGAAGAGACTGAGGGTCAAGGACCTGCGGTAGAGGACCTGCCCCCCTGGAACGGAATCCGGCAACGGAAATTCCTCGATCAGAGACGCATAAGCTGACTCGACCATTTCCGAATTCCAGTGCTTTCCCACGAGTTTCTCACAGGTCTTCACCGCCAACTTCGTCGTCGGGGCGACACCGCCGTACGCTATGTGCGCCTCCATAATCTCATCCGTTTCATGCTTGAAGACAACATTAAGCGCCATGTTGACGATGGCTATGTCGTCATCTCTCCGCTTGGCTTGTTTATAAGCAATGAAGTATTGCCATCTGCTTGTGAATGGGATTTCGATGGAGACGAGGACCTCCTCAGACCCCACAACATTTCTTCGATACCCCGTGAAGAACGTGTGGTCAAGGGGCACCTGTCGGCGGCCATCTTTCAAGCTGCAGAGGTTAAGCCTCGCTTTGGCCGCCATTAGAATCGGCACCATGTCGGAGATCGGACTTCCGGTCATGATGTTGCCGCCAATGGCGCCGACATTTCTTATCTGCTTGCCAGCGAACCAGTGGGCCATGCTGATGATCTCGGAGAAGATCCTCGTTTTGTACTCCGGGCTGGCCGCCATTATCTCGCGCAGCGCCTCCTCCATTTCGATGAGAGTGACACTAGCGCCGATTTTGACGCACCCCGGACCGGAGGTAACCTCTCTGAGCTCCGGTATCTGGGTCGGCTGGATGAGGATCGGGTACACGAGGTGCTTGAATTTCGTCTCAACCCCCACCTCCGTGTTCCCGACGATGATCCTGGCCTCCGGGAACTGTTTCTTGAGCGTCAGGAGGACCTCGAGGCTCGTCGGCCGGTACCACGTGACCTCTTTGCCCCTGATCACCAGGAACTCCCGATCGAGGTCCTCCCGGAGTTTTAGCCTCGGCGGGAAGATGATCTCCTGGGAGGGGTCGTAAGGCCTAAACTCTTTGGAGTTGAATATTTCCGTCGGCTCCGACGTGAACTGACGCCTGCAGCATGCGTCGCCCATTGCGCAAGCGGTTGTCTGACCCGAGTCTAGGGTCTTTGTTATTTGCGAGCGCTCCCACTCTTCGGTGAAGGTCCGGAGGCCCTCGATTATGGGCCGGTAGCCCGTGCATCTGCACAGGTTCCCCTGGAAGGCGACCTCTAGGTCGTGCATCGAGGGCTTGGGGGTCGTTCTGAGGAGCGCGTACATCGACATTATTATGCCGGGCGTGCAGAAGCCGCATTGCGAGCCGTGGGCTTTGGCCAAGCGCTCTTGGATCGGGTGGAGCTTTGTTCGGGTCGTCCCCAGGCCCTCGATCGTTGTGACCGATAGCCCGTGGACGCTGCAGATCGGGGCGAGGCAGGCGTTCACCGCTAGGTGGACTATCTTCTCGCGCTTGCGATCGAATTTCGAGAGCATAACTGTGCACGCGCCACAACCGCCCTCTGCACAACCTAGCTTTGTTCCGGTTAGTCTTAACCGCGTTCGGAGGTAGTACAATAGCGTCCATTCTGGGTTTATGTCCGCGTCGATTATCTGGGGATTTACGATCGTTATGTCAGCGGTGTTTTGACGAGTTTAGAGGGGTCACTGGGGAGTTTTTTTTTACCTCTTTTCCGTTTACGTAGAAGACTAGGGTGGAGGATTCCCGGGGCTTCGGAGGCGATGAGGATTCGAGGGAAATCGGGTCTGGAATTGGGTCCAGCTTTTCCTTTTCATCCTCGGGTTTACCCATGTCGTGGGACTCTGCGAGTTGATTGGAGATTAGTTTTGGGGGTTGAGGGGCCTCGGGAGTAAGGAGAGAGCTATTGGAGTGGGGGAAAATTTTTGCGCCATGATTTCTCAACCAGAAGGGGGTGAAAAAATCTGAAGGATAGCTTGAAAAATTTGTTCCGCGTCTAGGAACTGACTGGAATGAGTTGAGGATTATCTGAAGCGGATACATAATTTTTTTTAATGTTCGAAAGTGCGAGGTGGTACACAGTTTTCGCCGCCATCTTGATATGATAGGCCCGCCCTCTGTCGGAAGGGGCTTCGAAGATGGCGGCGGTGCCACCTCCTATTTTTAAACATTTCTTAAAATTATTTATTCTATTCAGGACACTTTCAGGTCACTACATTCGGTTTCTATAAAAGGAGGAATTTTGTTAAGCCATCTTTCAGATTTTTTAGTTCACTTTTGACTGAAAATTCATGGCGCAAGGTATTTCCTGGATTTCAGCAGTTTTTTTTACTCCCGAGGCCTCTTAAATTATTTTGCAGTTTTTTAATGAATTATAAATGGAAATAAATTGAGCTGTGACGTGAGAAAACTAGACCAGATTGAGGATTTTTTTTTGTAATAGATAAAATGTCGTTGGGAAAGGCCTTGCAATGAAATTAGCTGTCAAAAATTTACTTTAAGTTTTTCTGATGTAACAAGTGTAAAATTCTAGTTGAGTGGAACTAAGTTGAATCTTTTATAAATACTGTTTACAAACATTTCTTGAAATTACAAACTCCGTCTGATTTCAGTGCACTTCGGCTCAATTTTTACTGAAATCGAATTTTAATAAAGTTTTAAATAAATGCAACATTTCTTTCGAATTTCTATTCTACGTCATCTTACAGAAGACATTTCCAAAAGGCATTTCCAAAATTTATGTTCAGTCAAGTCGACGTTAACACACGTGTGTAGATAAATTTGAAATTGTCGTGCATCAAAATGTGAAAAATCATGAAATATAAACTTTTTCGAAATTTTTTCAACTCGTTTTGACTCAACCAATTGAGATAAAATAAAATCCACTGAACAAATCTTATTTTCATTAATCGGTCTTTTTTTTCTGGCAAAAATTACGTCCAAATTTTTTCAAACTGTTCATTCTAACCATTCTTAAACGATTTAACATTTTTTTCTCTAAAATTAGACGTGCTAGAAAGATTTTTCAAAATAAAGTTAAAAGAAAGAAATTTAAATTCGCTTTCAAAGTCGATTGTCAAAAGCGCGTAATTTTCCCTCCTCGCAGACAAAAAAATTCGGTATATTTGTTATTTATTAATTATTCTCAACTGACGTAAAAAAAATGTCAAAAGCGCGTAGTTTTCCCTCCGTGCAGCAAGAAAAGACAAATTCCAGAGCCAGCCCTCAAACTGCAATAGCAACTGATAACAGCATAAAAATCCTACGATAACAACCACTAGTAGATCTTTCTACTCCTCGACGTCACAGCTCCCATCCCAAGCCCAAATTACCCCAGACTTCTCACACCGTTAACTTCCCACTCTTACCCAGGAATTCCTAATCCAATAAAGCTGCGTCGCTCCCAACGAAAACTCTCAAAAACTCATCGACAGATGGGTGGAGATACCTTGAGCTTCGGAGAGAATGTCAGCAACACGAGAGTTTATCAATCACTGAGATGTGCACAGTGAATGCCCAAGATCGTGGGGTTATCGTGGGAGAGGGGGAGAGATACAGTATAGTATGACGCACGTGTAATCTCCCATGATGCGATCAGGAATATACTTCAACAGCTCTTTAATCTCTCGTTCTTGCATGCAAATCCATGGAATAATTTCTTAAAAATCCAGTTCGTGTGAAAATCTCTGGAGCCAACGACTGTTTTAATCACTTGGCAGATTGGAGTGAGCCACGAGTGAGTAATTGTGGGACTGAGACCGTTCGATACTCAATATAAAGTGTCACTACTTAGCATATAGACGGCATGAGTCAGATATTTCATAAGTGACCCTGGAGGCTTTCGAAATTAGATAACAAATACTTATTGACGTATTTACATTTTTAATAGAAGCGCTGTTCGTGGGGGACTAGTTTGGAAGAGGAAAATTTTTACGCTTTTGAAAGTTATTTAATTACATCATTTCACTGTTAACATCTCTTCATTTTGTGGCAATTTGACGAATTTGTTTTGCATGTTTCCAAATTTTATATTCAAGAGATTTAAAAAATTTTAAGTTGAAGTCTTGCTGATGCAAAGACGTTTCAGTCGTCTAGTATTGCGTAATGTTGACGTATTTACATTTTTTGCTACAAGTGTTGTTCGTGGGAGACTAGTTTGTGAGAGGAAAACTAGTCATTTTTAAAAGATATTTAGCTAAATCATTTGATTGTTGGCATGTGTTAATTTTATCTGAATTTAATGAATGTGTTTTGCACTAGTTGAAAAAAAAATCTACAATTTCTTTCACCAAAATATTTATCCGTTGATGATGAATAAGACTTTTGAATGCATTCAGAAAATAATGAGACTTTTAAATCGGCAAAAACCATTTACATTGAGTTCTGTTGATTTGAAAACCCATTAATTGTTGAAATTTCTCAATTAAAGTTATTATTAAAGACGTACAAAAGAAGAAAAACAAATCAATCAGTCAATCAATCAATGGATTAATTAATTCGTAAAATTAACGTTTCGAGATGTAAAAAATGGTCGTTTGACCCTCTTTCCTAAATGATGATTACCGATGCGATATTTACAGTTGATGACGAATGACATCCTCGACGACTCCTAATCCTAATCCGTAACAGCCTCGTTAGCTATAACATTTGATAAAAGCAGCCAGATGGGGAGGATAACAGTGGCGGTGACGTTGAACAGCCAGTTCCCATAGATCATGGAGTCGATTATGCTGAAGAGGAGGGCCTTCTTGGTGGCGTCGAAGCTCCGCGCTATCAGGCTCCCGAAGCTCTCCTCAGAGAAGTGGAAGTAGGTGTAGCCAGCCACCACGAGGGAGGCGGTTACGAAGGGGTGGAGAAGGGTCCAGAAGATGTAGAGAAAGCCCCTCGATCCTGAGGGGTCGGATCTCGGGGCGATCAGGAGGACAATTGGCACGTACAGCATCCCTGCGAGGAGGGCTAGTGAGGCATTGTGCATTGCTATGCTCATGAGGCCTGTTGCCAGCTCCACGAGGGCTATTATGCAGATCAGAGAGACATTCTCTTGCCTCGAACGTCTGAAAAACAAAAGGAAAAACAGGAAATTCATTAATTACCAATAAATTATCGATTAAACATTCACTTAATATTATTTTTATTTCATTTTTATAATTTTATTTATTTTTGTTCAATTTTTAAATGTTATTTTTGTTGATTGCTTATTTTATTTTTATTTTTTTATCCGTTAATTATCACTTGGATTAATTCGTCGAATGAATTCAGTAGTTAAGTGGTAAAACGATTTAAGTCGACCCATCTCCCAGTTGAGTTTTTAAGGAATATTTCCGAATCTGAGGGAGATAGCGGAATTTTCGTAATTACTTTTGTTGTAGCTCTGAATCGGCTCTACAAAAAAGGTTATAATAAAAATTTTGCTATCTCCCTTAGATTCCGAGATATTCATTGAAGACTGGTCAATAGTCAAAATTGACTTATATTGTTTTACCACTTCGCTACTGAATTTAATTTGTTTGGTGGAGAATTACCTTTTCATGAAGAAGAACCGTGACAGTGTCAGGACTGTGATACAGGCGGAACCATAGTAAACTGAATTTTCAGCCTCCAGCTGCAGATACTGTGACCCCAGTGATGCGAACAGTTTAGGGGAATTCATCACTGCAACTCCGAAGATGTGGGACCAGAGGAGCTCTGAGGCAATGTAGCCGATTTCGAAGGCTTCAGACTCAGTGGAACTGTCCCCTGGGGTGTTTCCAGTGGATTGTTGGTGTTTTAACCACATGCAGAAGGCTTTTATGAAGAGGCAACCGATTATGGCGACCAGGGCGGGCATGTAGAGGCCTGAAAAAATATTTTTAACATCTCCAATTTTTTTCATCTGTTGTAAAAACATTTCTCAATATTTTTAATTGAAATATTCAATTGAAAAAGAGATTTTTTACATTTAAATGACTGATGGAAAGATATTTTTATTGATTTACCAATGGAGATGTAACGATCAGTGGCAGCGAGTAGATAAAAGAAGAACGATTGGTGGAAACGTTCCAATAGATTATTCAGTGATCGAACCATGCTCTCCACTATTCTTCCGATTCTATCGAAGTTCACTTCAGCTCCACGATCGGTTTTCTCCATTCCCTCGAGAGTAATTGCCTCTATTCCATACCTGAGAACGAAATTACATCATGATTTACGTGTGTCAATTTACTCATTTATTAATACACTGCGTATTCTACCTGTGAAATGATTTGTTTAATAATTAAGTAACTGTATTCTAATTATAACTTTATTTTATCCTACACATCTTCAATAACCAAATTAATGTATCAATTCAAGATTTGCATAAAACAGAATTTAACCCTGTGATTTTAAAAATTTTACTGTTTCTGCATTTGGAATTTTTTAATTTTCTGAGTGAATTTTTCAACGGATTTGGAATTACCTGTGGAAGAGCCCATGATTTCCAGTTGGCACCCCAGTTGCCTGTGTCAGGACCATCGAGGCTAGAGTGTGAAAGTGATGGGACCATTTCTTGAATTGAGGGAATTTGTTGCTCATGTCGAATCGCTTCTGGAAGGTTCCGCGAACCATTTCTTTTTTTATTGCGTTCTGGGCGAGGTTGACGAGGTCCAGGTTGGGTAACTGCCCGTTGAGGCCTTCGATCTGAACAAAGACAGTGAGAACTCAATGGAGATCATGAATCGTATCATGAAAATTTAAGGGGAATTGAAGAGCTTGAGGATACCTTGACGTCGATCGAGGCGACTTTCATGGCGTGCATCTCCAGATTGATGGCAGCTTGGATGGATCCAGCTCGTCCATCGAGATCACCTGCGTTCAGGACATCAGCCTGACCGCTGACAACACCGTGGTAGGCATCCAGCCATGCCTGCATTCCCAACTGCTCGTGCTCTGTTACTAGGAAGATTATGTCCTTCGCCCAGTATTTTTGCTCTGTGGATAGAGCAAAAGAATTTCGTGAAATCCATCAGCTTCAGTTTTTTCATCAAACAAGATGGAAGACAATTTGATAGATTTTCCATGATTCGTCACGTTATTATTTAAGTCGATTGGAATCAATATTTTCTTTCACGTATACGAATTCCTATAGTTTTAGATGGTAGGATATCAATCTTTTTGATAATTTACATTTGAGATGAGGTAATCTTCCTGTATTATTAGTTTTTGAAGGATATTTCTGCGTAAAATGCATATATTCATCAGAAGCGGAATTTTTTATTAATTATTTTGCCTGAAAATTATTAAAGACAAGAAAAATAATTTTTTGAAGCAAGAAAATATATTCTGGGATAGAAATAAATTAATTTAAAGATGTCCAAGTACTTTGGGTATTTTTTCTCGAACATTTTACGATGATTTTATTACTCAAATTTGAACTGTTAGAAAACATTTAAAAAATCAGAAAAAAATTAGAATGTTTATTTTTGGAGGAAGTTTGATAATATAATTAAAAAATTGCAATGTTTGAAAATTACGAGCATTTTTTAAAAATAATTTATGAACAATCAATTTTTCACCATAAAAATCGTTTGGCCGGAATCGCAATAAATTTATTCACATTCAGAATTTCACCAGAAATCGATTTCATGTCCCAAAAAATAAGGTTTCCGAAATTTTAAACAATTTCAATTATTTATTCATAAACAACGTATACGAATTTCTATAGTGTTTCGTGGATTTTCTTTATTGCAAAGGGATGGATATTTCTGCGTAAAATGCATATATTCATCAGAAACAGAATTCTTTATTAATTATTTTGCCTGAAAATTATTAAAGACAAGAAAAATAATTTTTTGAAGCAAGAAAATATATTCTGGGATAGAAATAAATTAATTTAAAGATGTCCAAGTACTTTGGGTATTTTTTCTCGAACATTTTACGATGATTTTATTACTCAAATTTGAACTGTTAGAAAACATTTAAAAAATCAGAAAAAAATTAGAATGTTTATTTTTGGAGGAAGTTTGATAATATAATTAAAAAATTGCAATGTTTGAAAATTACGAGCATTTTTTAAAAATAATTTATGAACAATCAATTTTCCACCATAAAAATCGTTTGGCCGGAATCGCAATAAATTTATTCACATTCAGAATTTCACCAGAAATCGATTTCATGCCCCAAAAAATAAGGTTTCCGAAAGTTTAAACAATTTCAATTATTTCTTCATCAACAACGTATACAAATTTCTACAGTGTTTCGTGGATTTTTTTTATTGCAAAGGGATGGACATGTCCCTCGAGAATCAATAGGAGATACGACGAAAGCTATGAAAACTTACATTGGAGTCTTCATAGACTTCAGTCTTGACTTCTTTAGTCTTTTGATTTAATTGAAGTAGCACAGAACGCCCCGTGTGCGATTTCTCTTTCAGATATTTTGGAATAAACGTGACATCTCCTTTTTATGATTTCTTATGAGAAAAAATCACCCTGTTGTCGTCAATAAAATGATATTATGAACCTACTTACTCCTGCAGAACTTGGCAAACGCCAGGAGAAGGGCAATAGACGGTGCAGTAGTTGGATGAACACTGTTGGCAGCTCTGAAGGGGACACTGACGACAATTGCCTCTGTGGAGGCAGCTCTGGGGGCTCTGACAATCCCGTAAACATTCTGCCCAGTGAACTGATGCCCTGTGAAAGGGTAATTCAGGGTGAAGTTGTGGGTGTAGACGTCGAGATGAAGTTGATTGAACTTGGCGAGGATCCAGGCGTAGGGCATGTTGTCTGGGTACCTCTTCATCTCGTCGACGAGCTCCCTGTGGTACTGGCGAGCTGTGTGCTCCAGGTTACTCTCCTTCGTCACGAGACCTGGGAGGAGAGCATTCTCCGAGAAGTATGTACCTAAAAATTATTTGAGTAAGACTGATGACATTGTCGTGTAAATTCTGCCACTAGTGAGGCAATTGTAATAGAAAATAAATCATCATTAATTATTATTTATTACTATAAAGAATTGACAAATTAAAATTCTCGAGTAGAGACTAGAGCGAAACCAATTGGGTTCAAGCGTGAATATCTCTTGACCAAATGAAACGATTTAGATGAGTCAAAATTCATTTTAAAGCTTAAAAAAGTATCTTGAGAATGAAAAAAAAATCAAGGAATTTCACTCCGCGGATGTCGAGTTATTGTAGATTGAAAACCGCTCGTTTCACTGCATTTCAATAAAATCTATCACAAGATTTCATTGATGAATATCTTTGTAATAAAGAGGTTTGGGAAGAAATTTCAAAAGAAACTTTTTGTGTAGAATTTCCAGATCAACAAAAAAGTTTTAGTGACAATTTTTCCTAGAACAACCCATTCTCGAGATACTTTAACAATTACCAAAAATGTCAAGTTAAATTGATCACTCCCTGCGAAATAATTGCCAATTATTCCTGGATTTGATTGGAATAATGTAAATAGTATAAACACGTTGTTTTGAACGAACAACTCACCATCATTGAACATGGGTGAGGCGAGCATCGCCATCCACACGACTCCCCCGAGATAAATAAAAAAGCACAGAGCTCTTTCCCACCTCAAGAGGAGCTTTATCATCTCAGCGTTTCCAGCTCTGGGATCCGTCAGGAGACCCATCCTCCCTATATATTTGGATTATTAATTGTTCCCGAATTAACCTCCAGATATGTCAACTCAAACGTCTCGTAAAGTCGATATTTAGGAGCAGCACCGGCGCCATGACACGGACTGTATTTACAATGGACTGCGTCGATTGAATCTTTGAATTTCCCTCGGTTTTTCGTTGCGATCGATGAAAACATAACCTGATGGGGGCATTCCCACGTGCTTGCGGCTTGTCAGACAGTTTTTCTTGTTGCACTCGGGTCAACAATGAGTGGAGAACACGAAAATAAGAGTCAGGAGATCCCCGAGTGCTCCAAAACTGCTGTTCTGGTGGAGAGCCATCCCCTGCCGCAGGACACTCCAAGGGTCAGAGGTAAATTGAGGCCTCGAGGGGTTTTCTGTCATTTGTGGGTTTTTTAATATTATTTATTCAAAGTGTTGGATGTTACTTGTTTTTCCCATACACCCAACTTTGTAAATTACAATTTTTTTAATATTTGGGGGAGGTTGGGGTAAATCGGATACTTGACTTTTTTAAAATGTTAATGAGGGGTTGAAATGTTGATAAAATTTGATAATTGTTTTTTAATACAAAGAACAATTATATTATTAATTTTCCTTTGTGACGAGCCTAAACTCAGGCTAATTAAAAAAAAGTCTATAGTGTCCATTTTACCCCACCCTCGCCTACATATTTCTTCGATTATTTATTTATTTATAAGCTTTTTATTCATGTCCTGGGGCATAATGACCCCCTAAGAACAATCAAAACATGGTACAGGAGGTAATAAACCGATAGAAAATACGTAGTGAATTAATTTATGTAGGGGAGTGTGGAGTAAAATGGACACTTTAGACTTTTTTAAAATTATTCACAACTCAGAAACAAATTGATCAATTGAGCTCAGTTTAGGCTTGTCTCAAAGGGAAAGAATTGTTCTTTGTATTGAAAAAAAAATTATCAAATTTTATCAACATTTCAACCCCTCATTAACATTTTAAACAAAGTCAAAAGTGTCCGTTTTACCCCGACCTCCCCTGTTTATTGTCAGTCGCATCTGCGATTTTTTTCGAAGTGTAGGGTTTGGTAATTTATTTATTTGCAGTTGGTTTTTGATAATTTATTTAGTAGTTCATAAGACATGTTCAAAATCTTGAGCTTCTGCTCCACAAGAGCAGCTTGCACGAAGAAAAAAAATTACTTCCTCCAAGAAATTATCTTTTTCGTTGAATTTATTTATTTACGAAGATATTTCATCTCCAAATATTACAATTATCAACATCTGGAATTATTTCAAATGATTTGACGTTAATAAAAACTCAAATTTGAAAAAATTGAAAATTAATGAAGGGCGTGAGAGATCTGTGAAAACCCTGAGTCGACTCGAATGAATCTTGTCCATTCTTCAGGCTATGACTTCAACCGGGGCATCAATTACCACGAACTACTCGAGACGTACAAGTACTCTGGCTTCCAAGCCACGAATTTTGGCCTCGCAGTCGAGGAAATCAACAAAATGTTGGATGAGAGAGGGAAGCCCCTGGGGGAGGGCCAGGAAGACGATTACGAGGAGGACGAGTTCATCAGGAGGAAGAGCTCCTGCACCATCTTCCTGGGGTACACCTCCAACATGGCGTCTTGCGGAGTCAGGGAGTCCATTCGGTTCCTCATTCAACACAAAATGGTAACTCACAGGAAAAAATTAAAAAAAGACTCTTCTTCATTGTTATTTGTTGAATTGAAGGTAGATTGCATCGTGGCAACTGCTGGAGGTGTTGAGGAGGATTTGATAAAGTGCCTGGGGCCCACGTACCTCGGTAAATTCGAATTGGATGGGAAGCAACTGAGGGATCAAGGGATAAACAGAATTGGGAATCTCCTGGTGCCTAACAGTAATTATTGCCTCTTCGAGGACTGGCTGATGCCTAAACTAGATGCCATGCTGCAGGAGCAGAAGGAAAAGGTACTTCACGTTCTCATTTTCACGATAAAAATCACAAAATTCTCAGTTTTTCACTATTTTTATTCATTACCAATAATAATGAATAGTAATTTTTATTTAACGATAATCCATGATTAATCATCAGAATTAATGACTCAGGGATAATGGAACAAGAATTTTTTCAGGGAACTGTCTGGTCTCCCTCGAAGATAATCCGACGTCTCGGAGAAGAGATAGACAATCCAGAGTCTATTTACTACTGGGCAGCGAAGAATAAAATTCCAGTGTTCAGTCCTGCTTTGACTGATGGCAGTCTTGGGGACATGATGTATTTCCATTCGTTCAAAAATCCTGGACTGATCGTTGATATTCTATCAGGCATGTCATTGAGTCGTCAAATTGGTGGAATAACGAGTTTTATTATGAGGGCAATTTCTCAAGTTGCTTTGGTTTATTTCAGACTTGAGGAGATTGAATACGATGGCTGTGAAGGCTGTGAAGACTGGAATGATTATAATTGGGGGTGGCTTGATCAAGCATCACATTTGCAATGCTAACTTGATGGTAGGATATCAATCTTCTTGATAATTTACATTTGAAATGAGGTAATCTTCCTTTATTGCTAGTCTTTGGAGGATATTTCTGCGTAAAATGCATATATTCATCAGAAACAGAATTCTTTATTAATTGTTTTGCCTGAAAATTATTAAAGACAAGAAAAATAATTTTTTGAAGCAAGAAAATATATTCTGGGATAGAAATAAATTAATTTAAGGATGTCTATGTACTTTGGGTATTTTTTCTCGAACCTTTTACAATGATTTTATTACTCAAATTTGAACTGTTAGAAAACATTTAAAAAATCAGAAAAAAAATAGAATGTTTATTTTTGGAGGAAGTTTGATAATATAATTTAAAAATCGCAATGTTTGAAAATCACGAGCATTTTTTAAAAATAATTTATGAACAATCAATTTTCCACCATAAAAATCATTTGTCCGGAATCGCAATAAATTTATTCATACCCCAAAAAATAAGGTTTCCGAAAGTTTAAACAATTTCAATTATTTACTCATAAACAACGAATATTTACAAAATGATAATTCTCTGCAAAATGCTATTTAGATAACGCAGAATATAGACGATTTTTTCAAATTTTTATTCCCCCAATTTAACGTTACGTTAATGAACTCGAAATATCGAATAAACAATCAAAGTCGCAGTCAAAGTCGACAAGTCCTGTAAATTGCTGACGGATCCCAAACTCAAACAGTCCCAATTCTTCCAGAGGAACGGTGCCAACTTCTCGGTCTTCCTGAACACAGCCTCCGAGTTCGACGGCAGTGACAGTGGAGCCCGCCCCGACGAGGCAGTCTCCTGGGGAAAAATTCGAAAGGACGCAACTCCAGTAAAAGTAAAGCCCCCACCGCCAAATCCCCAACCAAACTCCAACAAACTAACCCATAATCTCTCTTTCCAGATTTACGCAGAGGCCTCCCTAGTCTTCCCCCTCCTCGTGGGGGAGACCTTCGCCCGACGATTCCACGAAAAAGCCCCAAACCCCTAATTAAAAGAGACAATTACCCGAAAAATCCCCGATCTCCGAGAAAAAAAAAATCACCAGATGCAATCCCATTGGAACGTTTCAGGGGCCCTGGCGCCTGCGCTCCACCTGCACCCCCAATGGAACAGGTGAGAGATACAGAACAGGGTTGCAATAGGGGTTGATAGGCATCCACTACAGTACAAGAAATATCGTTTGTCAGTTGTTTCCCGTGAGCCCGCGCACGCGGACGGGCGTGTGTGTGAATTATCAATCCATTCCCCCACCCGTACCGTCGTGAATAAAATAATCATTGATCCTTAACTCCTCGATTATCTTTGATTCCTCATTCTGCTGTGAAATATATATATATATTTTTTTTCGATTACTGATCAGTGAGTGGTGGAATGAAAAATGATGGACGTCGAGGAGAATAATACAGCATCCACTGCTAGCTCGTCACCGAGACCCTCGAGTCCTGCTGCCGATTCAACTTTCATCAGGTACAATTTAATGCATGAAGAGAACCAAATTTCAATTCGATGCAGGCGAATCTTCTACAGCTGAGCTATACTCCAAATTTCATATTATTTATGATTTTGATGGCCTGGGGGAAGTGATAAACAGATACAATCTGCAATTTAATGTATGAAGATATCGGAGAATTATCAGACATGAAGACATGAAGTTTCAGTCGATGCAGGCGAATGTTCTACCACTGAGCTATACTCCCAATCTTATCTGATGTTATTTATGATTTTGATGGTGTCGATGAAGTGATGAAGGGACAATCGAGATAATTAGCTCGATTTATTATTTTTTTTCGACGCAGTCGAATGCTCTACCACTGAACTATACTCCCAATTTTATATTATTTATGGTTTTGATAATGCTCACGAAGTGATGAAGGGACAATCGAGATAATTAGCTCGATTTATTGTTTTTTTCGACGCAGTCAAATTTTCTACAATTGAGCTATACTCCAAATTTCATATTATTTATGATTTCGATGGCCTGGGGGAAGTGATAAACAGATACAATCTGCAATTTAATGTATGAAGATTCTCAGAATTCTCAAAAACATGAAATTTCAGTCGATACAGGCGAATGTTCTACCACTGAGCTATACTCCCAATCTTATCTGATGTTATTTATTATTTCTACGGTGTCCATGAAGTGATGAAGGGATAATCGAGATAATTAGCTCGATTTATTATTTTTTTTCGACGCAGTCGAATGCTCTACCACTGAACTATACTCCAAATTTTATATTATTTATGGTTTTGATAATGTGGGAACAGTGATGGAAGGACAATCGAGATAATTAGCTCGATTTATTATTATTTTTCGACGCAGTCGAATGCTCTACCACTGAACTATACTCCAAATTTTATATTATTTATGGTTTTGATAATGTGGGAACAGTGATGGAAGGACAATCGAGATAATTAGCTCGATTTATTATTATTTTTCGACGCAGTCGAATGCTCTACCACTGAACTATACTCCAAATTTTATATTATTTATGCTTTTGATGATGTGGATGAAGCGATGAAGGGACAATCGAGTTAATTAACTCGGTTTATGCCATTTTTCATATTATTAATTGTGTTAATGATGGGGAGGAAGTGCTACAGGGACAATCGAGGTAATTAACTCCTCGTCAACAATTCATAGAAATTTTAATGCCCGAAATTTCGATCACGATTCCCATCTCGCAATTATCAAGTGCTCAATTATTTCATTGTGAACCACAATCGTCGGTATATTTTGAATATTTTAGGCAGTAGACATTCTGTCCACACTTTGTGCTGCAGTTTTTATTTCGTTTATCCTTCGGATAATTAAATATCTAGCACTTGAAAGAGCCCATTCTTGAAAAAACGCAGTAATGAAACTGATGGATTGAATTTTTCATCTGGAAAGATCGATCTGAGACGAATAAAAAAACGGGGAATGGATTGTAAAAGACGGGCTCATCCTAGAGTCTATTTCCGGTTTTATCGGATTTGATTGTTTTTAGATATCACGTATTTCCAGTTATTTGGGGAGGGGGGGGGCGAGGAGAGGGGTATATTTTTGGGATGACCTGATGAGTGATTGGAGAGGGGGTACGTCATCTCCGAGGCGATTATTGAGGGGAGATGAGGAGGAGTGACGGATGCAATGAGACTCGTCTTATTAGTGTAAAAAGGATGGGGGATTGAAGCAGCTCGGGCTTGTGGAGGACGAAATAGGATGGCTATGAATAGTCGTCACGAATCTGCCACTCGATATGCTTGACGGAGATCTAGGGGGTGAGGAATTGAATCGATTGTGCTGTCAGATCAATTTTTCTGTGGAAGTAAATTAATCTGAATCTGATTTTCGCTGAATATCTCGGAATCTGAGGGAGAAAATGAACTTTTCGTTAAGATCATTTCTGCAGGGAATTTTAAGAGCTGCGAAAAAGGTTCAGACGAAAATTTTTACATCTCCGATAGATTCAGAGATATTTTGGAAAAACTCAAAGGTAAATTGAAGTGAGTTCTTCTCTGAATTGCGAGAATTGGGTTTTCGTTTTCTCCAAATATCTCCGAAACTATTGGAGATAGCAGAGTTATGGATAAGATCTTTTTTGTAGCTCTTGAAATTCTCTGTAAAAAAGTTATTGGCAAAAATTTAACTATCTCCTTTATTCTCGGAGATATCCAGCGAAAATGTCAGTTCCTTGAACTAATGAACATTTTCCTCATTACGACATTGACAGATTGAGGATTATCCCCCTGTAATGGACATCGATCCTTCCATTTTTTTTTATAGTCATTATCGTTTTCGATCGTTCCACAAAAACCGATGAAACATTGATCGCGCAGCGAGAAAGGTTTCGGTGGGAGGTTTTCCCTTCGATCTGTCCCCTGAAACAATAATTTCGACACGTCAAGAAAAGCCATCTGACCCAGATTCATCCCAGCATTTTTTTTTATCCATCTCCAATAGTCATTAAAATAGTTCTCGTAGTAAATGAAATATGTAGAAGTGTCGGATAGTGTTCGGGTGGATTTTATCGTCACTCGGTGGCATTAATTCCCCCTCCCCCTCCGTCTACATTCAGCCCCTGAATTTCTCCTCCCCTCATCTGAAAACGATTTATCATCCATTGATGGAACTTTGCAAATGCAATATTTCCCCCGGGGTGTTTACGGAAAAGGGAATGAGGAAAAAACGATGAGGGGATTTTTTCTACTATTTTTCCCCCTAACCTTGACGCCTCTCGCTCGCGAGAAAAGTAGGTCAAATTCTTTTCTTCGACGGGGTGGGATACCACTCGAAGGACACTTAATCCCTTGTATTCGATATTAATTACAATCTTTCATTTAATTTTATTTTCTCTTTCGTGAAAATTTTTTAGGAAGGAAATTCGATATTTTTGGGCTATTAATTTTGCGTTTATCTTGAAAACAAGTGGTTTTAGGGGGAAATGTCAGAAGATATTTTGGGTTGAGGAGAAAATTTTCAGTGAAAAATGTCTTATGATATTTCGTCTCACGATCACTCATTATCGAGATAGTATGAGATGTAACGAAAGATGGAAAACGATTTGTTAATTGTGTGCGGTCACTACTTAATATGCTTTTTTTTTGTTCTTCCTAGTGTGAAAAGAGAGCCAAGTACTGAGGAGCCGAGTAGTCCCCTGGAGGCCAATAGCCCTGGCTCGATTCTCCGCAACAACGGTGAGTAACGAAAAATTGAAATTATTTAAACAAAATTGGGTAGTTCCCCAGCGTCGTGTACGTGCATGAAATGTTAAGAATTCCGTTCGACCTCTAGAATATGAGAGAAAGTATGCAAGGGAACAAGGTTTTTCACACAAAAAACAGACCGCCATTTTGTTATCACCAAAATCAAGATGGCCGCATTTCTGTTGCTTTTTGCGAACGACAAGAGAATAATCTTTTTAAAGAAGAAGAAATATTCGAGGCTGAAAAATAATAGGAGAACAATCACAATTTACAAACGGTTCAAGTGCGGCGCTAACTTCACGTCAAACGGCCATTTTGATATCACCAAATCAAAATGCCCGTCATCAGTCCCACGAAAGAATAGAAGGACATAAAAATTCCTCATGATGTATCCCTTGCATACGTCTATACGTCTATACTTTAAAAACCTTCTCCGCCCCCCGAAACATCAAAATAATTCACATAAAAAATTCCGAAAAATCCAATCCTAAATAAAACCCGAGGTTGAGTGCTTGAATTTTCGAGGAGACGATTTATTAACGACGAGAGAATCATCTTTTTGGAGAAGAAATATTCGAGGCTGAAAAATATAGAACAACAATCACAATTTACAAACGGTTCAAGTGCGGCGCTAACTTCACGTCAAACGGCCATTTTGATGTCACAAAATCAAAATGGCCGCCATCAGTCCCACGAAAGAATAGAAGAAAATAAAAATTCCTCATGATGTATCCCTTGCATACGTCTATACGTCTATACTTTAAAAACCTTCTCCGCCCCCGAAACATCAAAATAATTCACATAAAAAATTCCGAAAAATCCAATCCTAAATAAAACCCGAGGTTGAGTGCTTGAATTTTCGAGGAGACGATTTATTAACGACGAGAGAATCATCTTTTTGGAGAAGAAATATTCGAGGCTGAAAAATAATAGGAGAACAATCACAATTTACAAACGGTTCAAGTGCGGCGCTAATTTCACGTCAAACGGCCATTTTGATGTCACAAAATCAAAATGGCCGTCATCAGTCCCACGAAAGAATAGAAGAAAATACAGATCCCTCATGATTGCACACGTCTATTCTATATTAAAAAAACTCCTCTGGCCCCGAAATATCGAAATAATTCAAATAAAAAATTCCGGAAAATCCAATAGAAGATAAAACCTGAGAATTCATTTCCATTGTAACTGAGAACCTCTGTATAGCCGTTGAGTAGGATGAGCCACCCAGCTGGTATAGTCACCTAGCGTTGGATCGATTGAAAAGCGCGCGGCAGCAAAAGCGCGCCCCACCCTATTATGTTTTCTTCTTATCCCAGAGAGGATCCACAGCCTCCGGCTTCTTCATCTCCATTCCCTCCTTTTTTTCATTGTAATTTTTCTTTTCCTCTTCCTCATTTACTTCTTCCACCGTACCTCGACTCGTTGTCATCCCCTCCACAATCCCCCCCCCCCCCCCCCCCCCCCCCCCCCCCCCCCCCCCCCCCCCCCCCCCCCCCCCCCCCCCCCCCCCCCCCCNCTGTAATTGAATTCCGCCATTTTTGTTTTTCCATGAAAACGAGATGGTGGGAGAGCGAGGAGAGCCTCTCGTGATCTGTGTCAAGGCACTGCTTTGAGCCAAGGGGGAAGGGTGACATCAAGCCCTTCCTCTCGCTCGTTTTTACACCCCTGGTCGAGAGGATCCACTCCACTCGTATTATAGTAGAGGCAATTAATCTACCTAATTGCTGGGAATCTTTAGTTTTCTATTGGGAATTTTTGGGCGGATTAATTTTTTCAAGATTATCCAAGTGGCTATTTTGTCGCCAGCGAAAAGCTCTTCTACTTCTGCAGTCGAATATCGGAGCTTTCTTTTGAGCTCTTTTGACCCCAAGTTTCCGGACATTTTTACGATGATTTTGTTATTAAAAAATAGTGTATTTCGATACGATTGCGGAAAACTGTTTTTGGACTCGTGGGAGGTTTATGGCACGGGCCGAAGGCGAGTGATATAATCCCACGAGTCTAAAAACACTTTTCCCGCGAGTATCGAATCCTATTTTTCAGCATAATGTGTGGGAAGTGGGGTTTTGCGCACGCGGAGCGTGCGTAAAATGTCACTTTACACACAGCGTGATGAAAAAGAAGCTTTACGCACGGGAATTCACTTTACGCACGCCGTGCGAAAAACAATCGCTTTACGCACACGAAACCGTTTCGAAAAGTGCACTTTTGAGGCAGGTATCACAAATAGTTATTTTCATTACAAGGTCCACAAAGTATTTTCTGACTAATGTGATTATAGGCCTCGCCTTCGGCTCGGCCAATAAAGCCGCATTCGTCAGAAAATACTTTGTGGACCTTGTGATGAATGGAATTTTTCGTCAGAAGGCCCCTAAATCGCGGTTTACCGGGCCTTGTGACGAAAAAGAATTTCAAAATTTGAAAAAAAAATTAGAGTGTTTAGTTTTGGAGAAAGATTGATGAAATAATTGAAAAATTGCAATTTTTTAAAATTACGAACATTTTTTGTGAATAATTTATAAACAATCAATTTTTCACTATAAAAATAATTTTAGCGGAAATCGATTTCATGACTAAAAGATGTTTCCGAAAGTTCAAACAATTTCAATTATTTATTTATAAACAACGAATTTAAAAAAAAAATTATTTGCAAAATGCATTTGAATGACGCTTAAACTGCTTCTCACGCAATTTAATTGACAAATTTGATGCTTGGATATCCTTAAGGGGAAAATTCAGTGTCGGTCAGGCGGGGTGGATAGGGCACGTAAGGGAAAATTTGTTATTTTTATTAACAAAAAAAATTGATTTAAATTTAAATGAAGAATCGACTGTACTTTTGGATATTTTTTTTAATGAAAAACAATTTATCTGAGACTGGCTTTTGCTGGATATCTCGGAATCGAAGGAAGGAAGCGAAATTTTTGATAAGATCATTTCTATGGAGAATTTCAAGAGCTGGAAAAAAGTTATGAACGAAAATTTTGGTATTCTCCGAGGTTCACAGATATTTTAGAAAAAGTCACGCTTGAGTGGAATTGATTTATCCTCCAAATTACAATAATTGGCTTCTCGTTTTTTCCAAATATCTCGGAAACTACTGAAAGTAGAAAAATTGTCATTTCGATCTTTTTCGTAGCTCTTGAAAATGTCTACAAAAAAGTTTCTGACAAAAATTTCGCTGTCCCTAGAACTAATACTTCCGGAGAACTAATACTTCCCGAGAAATCCACCGGAAATATTAGTTCCATTAACTAATGAACATTTTCCTCATTACGGCATTGACAAAAGGAGGATTATCCCCCTGTAATGCACATCGATTACCTCTTTTTTTTTTTAATATTCATTATCGTTTTTCGATCCCACAAAAACCGATGAAGCACTGTATTAATGGAGAAAAAAATGAATATTAAATTGAACAAATGTTCATTGTTTTCACTGAAAAAAAATGTTTTTTGTTTAATTTCGAATATTTTTGTAATTAATGGTGACTAAATGAATCAAGATTATTTTCATTTCACTCCAAACTTAAGTATATCAGAAAATCCTCAAGATTCCTCAAAATACATATAATATTTCATTTTGAAAGATATTTTTTTTTTGAATTTTTTTTTCTATTTCTACTTTCTACTTTATTTTATTTTATTATTTTATTTTATTTTATTATTTTGTATTATCCTTGTAAGGACCCTCATTATGCTCCTGCTCCCTAGTTTTAAAAGGTCTTAAGACATAAACTAAGTTCAGTTTAGTTTTCTAATGGATTGAATTTAAGTTAATGGCAATGTTTTTGTAAGAAAGAAGTGGAATCAATCAATCCTCAAAATATATTCTCAAAAATCTGAAATACTTCCTGACTCAACGATTCGACTTTAAAAAATCTCACGGATCTCTATAGCAAAAAAAAAACAAGTTGATATCTCAATTTTTGTACAAGCTAGAGTGCTTACAAGGATTTTTATGAAAAAACAGAAAAACCGAAATATCTCGATAACTTTGTATGAACGGGTACATATGTTTCGATTGATTCGGATAGTATGCATCGAAACGAATATTTTGAAAACAAAAATTGAAATCGGTTGACTAGCTTCGAAGATATTAGCGAAAAACGATTCAAAAACGAATAGCTTTTTCTCAAAAACTATTTGATCGATCGGGCTGAACTTTTGCACAGAGTTAGTCCTTGTTGAGGTCTATAATCTGACGAAATTTCAGATTTTTTGGAATAAGTTTAGCCAATTAATTACTCAATTTTCTAAAAATTGACCACCAGAAAGGTGGCGATGGACATTGACACCGACAGACATTGTCGCCAAACTTCGTATTTTTACGTAAATCGTGCACAGAGTTAGTCCTTAGGAAGACGTATAATCGTGCAAAATTTCAGATTTTTTTGAATTATTTTACCCCACTATTCTTTCAGTTTTCAGAGGTCTTCACATACAGACATGGAGCCCAAACTTCGTATTTTTACATTTCAGACCATTCTACATAATTTCCAATCAAAATTAGAGAATGTGAAAACAGCACGATTACAATGCTTCCATTCGGAAGCAATTGTACCTCCAATTTCCCTCCGCATTATCCAACAAAATAACGGCTAATCTCGCTGAAGTAATCGGAAAATTGTTTTTAAAAATCGAATAACCGATAGCCATTTAATTACTATCAATTTAATCACTGCTGTATTAAATTTATTTCTTCCATACGCAACCGAGAGTTTGGTCATATAATACCGTAAGTATACATCGATACGCGAAAGTTATATGCACGGGATTGAAAGAGGAATGGTGGAGGGGGCGAGAGAGGGAGGGAGTGGGGGGAGGAGAGGAAGGGGGCATAGGATATGTAACCGGTTTTCCAGGTTCATTACTCTGTGCAAAGTTGTATGCGCGCATCTCCTTTACTGTGGCCAAGCCACCATCAAACTTAGTCACGCACAAGAACACATATAGAGACATAGGTAACAAATATAAAAATTGTTAAAC